CCAAAGTTTTTAAAGAATTTTGTCAACCTCGTACAATGGATCGCTGCTGAAAGTCTCTGCACAGCATTGACTGATCAAGGCGCACATTTTTATATATCTCTTGCCCAAAACACGTCAATGTTTAGGTTTCTGTGCTGAAATTTTGATGCAAATTCGGCCGTTTTAAGATATTTTTCTAATAGGAGACCGTTTTTCGCCAAGCAGGCTAAGTGAGATTTTGGTACGTTCCACTAAACGCTAACATGGAGAAGGCTGTTTTTTTGCGAGACAGTTGACGAGAAGCGTCAAAAGTCAAAATAACAGCGAGTGCAGCAACTCCAAGGAATTATCAAAATAATATTTACAGCGTGAAATGTGCAAACTGTTCACTTGACAATGTGCACAGGTGCATCGTATGTGGAGTGCAGACCATAATAATGATGCTTTTCAAGAAGATAGCTGCTTTATTAACAGCTGTCTATGGGGGAAGTTCCACGTTGATCCTTCACCTGATTTAACACGAGTCTGGAACACGCGGCTGTAACGCTGCATAAATCCAACTCCTTATCGTCTCCTGTTGTTTTTGTTTCAGGACTTTTATGTATACTGTGTCTCTCACACACGGACATTACCATAAATTTAAATGTTCTACTTCTACAAAGCAGTGTAAACATAAAGGTAGAGCGCCCGGGGGCGGCCGGCTGTGACGCCGCCTCCAGACCTGTCTGTGGCTTAAACACAGTCATAACTCACTCACTCAGCCAACACCATTTCCCTAACGCGAAAAAAAAAGAAAGATAAACTCCCTGAGAGCAACTTTTCCTAAAAAACGAACATGGCAGACTTACGTAACCGTTTGCGTGACACAGAACTATGTTAATTTGAGTCGAGGGAGGGAGGAAAAAAACAACCCCCCCAAAAAAACACACAGAGAGACAGAAGGAAAGACAGGAAAAAAGTCTGTTGTGGCAGTCGGAGGAGGAGGAGGAGAAAAAAAACAGAGCGAGTCTCAGATTACGCCATCCTCCTGCCTCCCTCCTCCCTCGTGGAAACATCGCGTGAGAGCGCTCTCGCTCCACGTCCTGATTATGATTAATGCAGGTAGTACCACACACACACTGAAACCACGGTTCTGGCAGGGTTCTGCCGTGGTTCTCTGCTCGGGCCTGCGGTTCCGTGTGGAGCAGTTAACACTCCGTCTGGCTTGTTAAAAGTTAAAAATCACAAACTGGTAAATCACACGGAGGACGACGGCGCGGCTTGGAGCGGTCCTTGTGCTCCGTCAGGGTTCTCCACGGCACCGTGAAGGCTCGGGGACGAGGTGTAGCAGGATGGGGCCTCGGAGAACCCCTCTGGAGGTTCTTTACAGCACTTTAAAGGGTCTGGAATGAAGCATCTTAGCATGGTGCTGTGGGAAAACCCCTCTAAAAGTTCTTTATGGCACTTTAAAGGGTTTAGAATGAACCATGGTGCAAACAGAACCTTTCAGGGGGTTCTTTACAGCACTTTAAGTTGTTTAAAATGAACTTTTTTTGGCTTTTTAAAGTAGTAGAACCCCTTTAACATTCCTTTATAGCACTTTGAAGGGTTTGAAATTACCCATTTTCAGCATGGTGCTCTTTTAGAACACCACTAAAAGTTCTTTAGAGCACTTTAAAGGGTCTAGAATGAACCATGTTAGCACGGTGCTGTGGTCAAACACCTCTTAAAGTTCTTCAGAGCACTTTAAAGGGATGTAAATGAACCATGGTGCAAAGAGAACCTTTCTGGGGGGTTCTTTAAAGCTCTTTAAAGGGTTTAAAAGGAACCATTTCAGCATAATGCTTTCGTAGAACACCTCTAAAAGTTCTTTAGAAAACTTTAAGTGGTTTAGAATGAACCACGGTGCAAAGAGAACCTCTCTAGAAGGTTCTTTACAGTACTTTAAAAGGTTTAAAATGAACCACAGTACAAAGAGAACCTCTCTAAAAGGTTCTTTTCGGCACTTTAAAAGGTACCATGTTAGCATGGTGCTTTAGTAGAACCCCTATAAAAGTTGTTTAAAGGACTTTAAAGGGTTTAGAATGAACCACGGTGCAGAGAGAACCTATCTGGAGGTTCTCTACAGAACTTCAGTTTGTTTAAGATTAACTTTTGGGGCTTCCTTAAAGTGATAGAACCCCTTTAAAGTTCCTTTACTGCACTTTGAAGGTTTCAAATCACCCATTTTCAGCATGGTGCTCCTTTAGAACGCCTCTAAAAGTTCTGTACAGGATGTTAAAATGCTTAAAATGAGACATGGTGGAAAGAGAACCTCTTTCAAGTTTTTTTTTTTACAGCACTTTGAAAGGTTTAAAAAGAACCATCTCAGCATGGTGCTTTGGGAAAACACTTCTAAAAGTTCTTCACAGCACTTTAAATGGTTTAGAATGAACCACATTGCACAGAGGACCTCTCTGGAGGTTCTCCACAGCACTTTGAAGGGTTTAAAATGACTGCTTTTCAGCATGGGGCTCTGGTGGAACACCTCTAGACGTTCTTCACAGCACTATAAAGAGTTTATCATGAACCACGGTGCAGGAGAGAACCCCTCAGAAGGTCTCGATTGGTTTGAAATGAACGGTGTTATGGTAGAACCCATTTAGGTTTCTGTGCTGCACTTAGAAGGTTTTAAAGGGAACCATGATGTAGTAGAGAACCCCTTTAAAGTTTCTTTGTGATACCTTAAAAGGTTTAAAATCAACCATGGTAGAACGTTCCTCCAGGTTCTTTACAGTGGCGCTGCTCCATCAACAGGTGGTGCATCATGAAGGAACACAAGTTACCGCATGTGGATCACGCGCCAACTTTTTAAAAAAACTTTATTTAGATGAGACAAGTGTGTTGACATGCAGGACGATCCGTCTGCATCCCGCTGAACGACGACAGGAACCCTGTTGGTCATGTCTTGCAACTGTTAGCATCGAACGCAGCAACGCAACTGAAGCGTACAGCCCTCTGTATGACGAGTCTGAATGTCGTCCAAGAACCAAACTATTCTGGTTCTGCATCACAACAGAACGGTTCCAAACAGCAAAGACAATCCCGGACGGATACCTCTTCAGCTTGAGAAAGACGTGATACCAAAGGCCCTCTGAAGACCGGCATGGTGCTCCAGAGAACATCTCTACCAGTTCTGTACAGAACTTTAGAGCGTCTAGTTAGAACCAACATGTTTCTTTAAACATACCTACACACAGAACCAGCAAAACCTGAGATGTCAGAGAGCTGTAAAGTGTTAATGAAGAACCACTGGTGGGGAGAACCTTCTTCAGTGCACTGTTAGGGGTCTGTAAAGAACAATTAAACCTGTTTTAAGGGTTCTCACACAGAAAGGTCCGGTCGGAACCACTGAGGAACAACGTGAGGATAATCTCATTTGGTGCACGAGGACCAACAAAGTGAAAACCTTAAAAAGAAACAGATTTCTGAGCACTTGCTGGGCTTCAAGGTTCTGTTTTGGTGCAAAAGAACCCCTTTGTGGTTCTTTAAAGGGGGTCCAGAGACCTCCAGTGGTGCCAGGATGGGTCCAGATACGTTATTTCTGACGAAGCACGGGCGAACAAAGAGGTGAGGTGAGGACTCATTCCATAGGGTTCCTTACAGAACCATTAAAGGTTCTATAAGGAGCGAGCCAGCGACGGCTCCCTCCTCCTCGTGTATACACAAAGCCTGAAGAATGGCTTTCCGGTGCTACAGTATGCAACACTGGATCTCAGATTGTGGTCAGGGGCCCTCCAGGGTTTCTCGAAGGGGAGCCCGGGGGGTGGGGGGACAGAAATGCCAGCGAGAAGTTTGCTGAAATCACAAGTGGAATGAGGAGAAGGTGGTGCGACAGTGCACTGATGTGGGGTTTCGCTCTGTGCACTGTTAACCTCCCCGCCTACACAGCACCACTCACACTAAAAACCCAGAAACAAAAATCAGCTCTACAAATCCCAGTTAGATCAGTTTCTAAAACCCACACGAAGCGCCTCAGTTGGTCTGATCAGACTGAAACAACACTGAAGCAACAGTTCTGTGTGGTTTCAATGGGCCACAGCCTCATGGAGGATCACATGTAGCACGGGCTGAAATGCAGGAGATGTTTGCACAGCTGCACCTAAACAGCAGCCATCCACTGTGTGTAGGATGCACCAAGTATTAAAGGTATGCACTGGTGGTGGAGCTGCAGCAATCAGGCAGTTTGCATGGACTGATCTGATCTGCTGCAGCAGCCACTGGACTCCTGCTCATGATGAAACATTAAAGTGAAAGTACAATAAAGTGCCTTGAGGCTGATCACAGCAGCCTTCATACACACTACAGCCAGTGTGTGTGTGTGTGTGTTTCCAGCCCAGCAGCCCCTCCACGGGTTAAACTACGCTTCTTTTTTTTTTTTTTACTCACATTTTCTGGACCGGCTTCTTCCGTTTCTTGGCCGCGTAAAGCGCCGTGTTCGGCATCATGGTCACTCCGGAGCCAAAGACACGGACAAAAACAAAGGTGGCTTTATCCCGGCTCCTCTGTACACGCTCAACAGGTCCAGGCGTGTTCTGGAGACTCACATGCCCCGAAAAAAAGACGCGTGAAGCAGAAAGCGAGTCGGTCGGAGTCCCCCTCGGTCCTCTGGCGGCTTCACGAAGCGCCTGTTAGCTTGAAGAGGGGGAAAAAAAGTACTTTCCCCTCGATTTAGCTAAAACAAACGTCCGTGAGACGTCGGTAAAGTGCCACAACTTCTCATATTCCTCGACTTGGAGCGTCTCCGCAGCGCTTAGTCGCGAATAAAAGCGACTTTTGAAGCGTTTCGAGGAGTCTGAAAAGTCCTCCGAGGATTTTTATGTAAGTCCTCCGCGGCGCGTCACCCCCGTTCTGATTTGACAGGGCCGCCGCTGCGCGCTCCCGTCGCTCTGTGTGTGTGTGTGTGTGTGTGTGTGTGTGTGTGTGTGTGTGTGTGTTACTGTAATGTGAGAGCAGAAATATTTAAGGTGGACCGAATGTGGGCCGACTGACGGCTGCACTGGCGCAGGCTGGAAAACCGCATTCCAACCGGGAAGACCTTAAGAAAGTTTGTGGTTTTTAATTTGGGAAAAATAATATTTATTAAATAATGACAGCAAATTATAATCACATGTCTATACATTATTATTATTATTATTATTATTATTATTATTATTATTATTATTATTATTGATTTACATTTTCTTAAATATTTTTTTAATTTGTGTTTTTCTGTTTTTCTCATTTATATTGTGTTTATAACATATAGGGAAAAAAAGTAATAAAAAATATCTCTCTCATTATTCTGGTCTTTAGCAAATAGAAATAATTCTGGTCATCCTAACTGACCTGAAACAGGAACAGTTTAGTCACATTTAATGTCAGATAGTGAGAAATAAAAGTTTATGTGTCTTTTTAGACACTGCATGTAAACTCCTGGTTTGAACTGTACGTAGTGTACAGACCTCGCCTCTTTCATCTATACCTGTGTTTTCTTGTTTTTCTTATTTTGTTGCTGTGACCTTTCAAATTTCCCCTCGTGGATAAATAATAAAGTATATTCTGTTTTTTTTATTATAAATGTAATGATATTTACATGCTTGTCTAAATTGTGAATAAATAAATATATAAACAAACTTAGGAAAGACATGATTCCAGTTTTGTTTATTGTTGACGTTTTTACCTAAATCCTGCAAAATAAATGACTTAACATGCATGCAAAGTGACCCAAACGTGTCCACAATGGGTTCAAATTTGTCCAAAATAAGACAAAGACTGTCCAAAGTGTCTTAAATCCTGTCCAGGATGACTCAAAATAATATTTTAAAAAACAACAACAATAAATTATTAATGTGGTGGAGATAGATGGGAGGGTGATGGGAGAGTGATGGGAGGTGGGGAGAGATAGATGGGAGGTGGAGGCTGATGGGAGGGTGATGGGAGGTGGAGATAGATGGGAG